TAAAACCTTAGTGAAATAAAGCTTGTCCAAGCTTCAACAACACGTGTTTCTGTATAGTATACATGCAGTCTATCCTGTTAGCCTTGTCCTTACTCATGTTGAGATGATCAACATCATCAAAAGACACATTGTTTGTTATTTTCCTAATCATGCCAGACCGGCAAACCTTTTTTGTCCATGTCGACTTGGAAAGGTTGAGTTTCCATCCAGTTGGAGTTTAGCAGGCAGGCCACAGCAAGGCAGGCTCTCTCTCTGTCCCAGTGGCTCACATCCAGGGCAGGCTTCTCATCCAGTTTGGCTCTGTAAGTTCTGAAACTCAAGAGAAAAGTGTTGAAAAAGGTCTGTTTTGAAGCAGTTTGGTTTTGAAAGGTAAATGATGACTCATTTTTGAGGACTCTTGAGATCTGGGTCTTGTGGGGCTCAGATCTCCATCTTGCCGGAGATGGACCCCAGCTTCATGGGCAACGGAGAGGAGGCAAAGAGAAAGAATCTGGTTTCCTCTGTGGTTTTGTTCTGTCCGCACAGAGAGGGGGGTGGTTGGTCACACCTCTGTGGGCTGTCATGTGACTTGCCTGTGGATGCCTTGGCTGAAAAGGGGGCGAGCACAGAGGTCCCCCAGCTGTTATTCACCAAAGCTTCGGCTTCTTCTCTGGTCATCATGTCAAGATGGAACATGGACGCTGGTTCATCATGTCGGACAAGGTCATGACATTTAGCAGCCATGAGAGTCAATGGGGATTGGGGGGATTTACCATTAGGCAATACTAGGCAGTTACCTAGGGCCCCAAGTTGGTGGGAACGCTCTAAGGATGGTGGCTGATGCTACCCACCCGAACGCTTTCATTAAAGTTTATATTTTCCAAAAATGAGCTCAAAGATATATTTATTGAATGCTTTCCTATTGTTGAGAGCACAAGAGAACCACAATACATTTGTGGTATTTATAGATACAGACAGTTGCCTGCCTTTAGTGCACTATTTTATAAAGGGCTCAAAAACATTAATGTATAAAATATGATGAATAACTGCCAATACTGATGCCAACATCAATATATCATGCATTCCTAGAATGGAGACAACTTCACTTCCATCAATTTTTCCAATATGTCGTTGACAGCCAAAGTCTATATATTGAACCTTATATTTCAAAAATCATTTATATACTGATTTTTATTGTTTGGGCTTTAATTCTTGTAAGTTTCTTATATTTTTATTGTAAGTCTGTGTCCTGTGAGTCTGGCTGTGTCTGGGTTGCTGGCACAGCTATTTCTGAATCTCGTTGAGCTACAAAAGACAAAAAGATACCTTGAATTTTTATTATAGCATTGTGTGTTTTTTCTTGTAAACTTGGAAATATATTTTATTGCATGTTGCATATCCCAGTAAATCTGTTTCACCTTTAAATCTGCAGCTGTCCCAGTGATGCAAGAGATGCAATCATTTTTCAGATATCTAGCAGCTCTGCAATCTGATTTTCTGTTCAATAAGAAAACAACAGATATGTGTTAATTTTAATCTGTAACTCTGAGTAATGGTCCTCTGAGAAGCCCAGCTTTTTTTACTTATATAAATGTACAATCTGTTGCCATTTTTAGCTGAAAAAGCTCCATATGTAACTAACGGATTTTTCGTTGGCATCTCAGATTGTTTTTAACCAACCAGNTTTGTTATCCTGAGTTAGGTATGCCTTAGTTGATTTCATTTGGGTACATTTTGTTATATTTTTTTGAGATTTGATGTAAGCCCTTCTTTTGTGAAGATTATTTTTGGAAAATAAATAGAGAATACTTTTTATATGCCTTTGTCCTTGTGCCTTACTGGACGGACCACCACAACCTACATGGAATAAATTCACCACAACTTCTGTTCAAAATATATGAGTTTATTAACAACAATCATTCAGCCCCAGTCAAACATATTTCAGTTTAACAATCTCAACTAATACTAGTGAAACTCAACTAAACTAAACTACTATGTACAAAGAGGAAGAGGAACATGGTTGAAAACCATATTACAGTTTAAGATGGATCTTGTGTTTGAAACTAAAGTTTATCTGGAAGAATTTGGGATATGATCAAATTAGCTTTTCACTAATTTAGAGCAATTGGAATGTTTTCAGACAAATTCACAATCACACAATGCAAATCCATGAGGCGAATAAAACATTATTTGGCCGAATAATGCTTTTTTTTTAATTATCTGCTTAATCAAGAACCAATAACCTGTAGTTAATGATCCTTTACCCTCTTTGAAATAGCTATCAGCGAATAGACATCCAGATTCCACTAAATTACTCTGGGTCATACTTGGTCATGGAAATGTAATGAGCATCTGAGGAACACATGAACACTTATGTTATATCAGTGATTAAACACTTAGTGAAATAAAGCTTGTCAAAGCTTCAACAACACGTGTTACTGTATAGCATACCATAGCATGCAGTCTATCCTGTAAGCCTTGTCCTTACTCATCAGTGAACACCTGATATGATCAACATCATCAAACATATTGTTTGTTCGGTCCCTAATCATGCCAGACCTGCAAACCTCTTTTGTCCATGTCCATTTGGAAAGGTTGAGTTTCCATCCAGTTGGAGTTTAGCAGGCAGGCCACAGCAAGGCAGGCTCTCCCTCTGTCCCAGTGGCTCACATCCAGGGCAGGCTTCTCATCCAGTTTAGCTCTACAAGTTCTGAAACTCAAGAGAAATGTGTTGAAAAAGGTCTGTTTTGAAGCAGTTTGGTTTTGAAAGGTCAATGATGACTTTTCTTTTGGGACTCTTGAGATCTGGGTCTTGTGGGGCCCAGATCTCCATCTTGCAGGAGATGGACCCCAGCTTCATGGGCAACGGAGAGGAGGCAAAGAGAAAGAATCTTGTTTCCTCTGTGGTTTTGTTCTGTCCTCACAGAGAAGGGTGTGGTTGGTCACACCTCTGTGGGCTGCCATGTGACTTGCCTGTTCCCAAGTCTGGTGGAACACTCTAAGGATGGTGGCTGATGGACCTACAGCTACTCAACCCGAACGCTTTCATTAAGGTTTATATTTTCCAAAAATGAGCTCAAAGATATATTTATTGAATGCTTTCCTATAGTTGAGAACACAAGAGAACCACAATACATTTGTGGTATTTATAGATACAGACAGATGCCTGCCTTTAGTGCATTATTTTATAAAGGGCTCTAAAACATTAATGTATAAAATATGACGAATAACAGCCATTACTGATACATCAATACTTATACATCAATATATCATGCATCCCTAGAATGGACACAACTTTGCTTCCATCAATTTTTCCAATATGTCGTTGACAGCCAAAGTCTATATATTGAACCTTATATTTCAAAAATCATTTATACACTGATTTTTATTGTTTGGGCTTTAATTCTTGTAGGTTTCTTATATTTTAATTCTAAGTCTGTGTCCTGTGAGTCTGGCTGTCTCTGGGTTGCTGACACAACTATTTCTGAATCTCGTTGAACTACAAAAGACAAAAAGATACGATGAATTTTATTATAGCATTGCATGTTTTTTCTTGTAAACTTGGAGATATATTTTATTGCATGTTGCATATCCCAGTAAATCTGTTTCACCTTTAAATCTGCAGCTGTCCCAGTGATGCAAGAGAAAATCATTTTTCAGATATCTAGCAGCTCTGCAATCTGATTTTCTGTTCAATAAGAAAACAACAGATATGTGTTCATTTTAATCTGTAACTCTGAGTAATGGTCCTCTGAGAAGCCCAGCTTTTTTTAACTTTTCTAAATGTACAATCTGTTGCCATTTTTAGCTGAAAAAGCTCCATATGTAACTAACGGATTTTTCGTTGGCATCTCAGATTGTTTTTAACCAACCAGTCTCCTAATGGCTGAACCCGATTAAAACCAAAAAATGTGGAAAAATGTTTGTATAAAAATGACTCACACCTTTCATTTTGCTCATCATTGCCCAATTTGCACAAACACTTTCACTGTCTGCTTGAGTTTATTTCATTAAAATGTCAGAAAAACACCTTAAATGATTGTTCTAAGAAATTTTACACTAAAAACAAAAAACTAACAAAAGATTTTATTATACACACCAACCATTAACAATTTCAAAGGAACTTAAAGAAAAACAATCGCAAAAAATCACAGATAATTATTTTGGTGACATTTTTCCATGAAGCTTCATGAACAGTGGGGGTTGTTGAAGCAATCTGGCCAAACGGTTCAATGCCTCATAAGGCCTCATCTCACCATCTCTAGATCAGTCCATTTGCAGCACATGTTCTGAAAGGTCCAAACAAACAGCAGCTGTATCTGTATAATGGGTCTGTTTTATGTGTTGTCTTCTCAATTTAGAGGACCCCTGCCCGTCTTTGCCTAGGGCCCCAAATTTCCTAAATCCACCCCTGATGGTGATGATCAGACCCGACATAATAATCTGCAAGGTGGTTAGGACACAAACTCGGATTCGATGTGTTGAAAACACAGTGAAAATAAAGGTGTATTACAGTATACACAAATGAACAAAACCCTACAAAAGTTATAACCCAGCACAATTCATAAAATAATTTCATTTTTGTGTATGTTCTATTATTATTGTTGTGATCATCGTTATTTTTATTTAATAAATCCAGATTATACTGAACAGCAGTATTGTGTGATCTCGGCAAAAACTTTCCCCCGCACCTTAATAAATTCTAGCCGAGCCTTCCACAGACCGACTTGCTAGGGAATGCTCCTCTTCTCTCATCAATGGATAACATGGAGTACGGGGAGCCGTCAGTGTGAGTGAGATTTCAACTGACAAGGAAACAAGCCAATGAATTGGGTTCAGATATGAAGCTCCTCCACTTATTGGTCTCCCACAGGGACCAGCCCTTATTTAAGGGGCCAGTTGTGGACAGGATCTTGTAACTGGCAAGAAGCTTAGCCTATTAGAAACCCCCGTTTTCTAGTGGGTGGGTTCTCTGGAGAAGGGGAGGAGTGTTTGAGGTCATTCAGACCTGATCCAACTCATTCTAGCGGCGTGTGTTTGAGGGGTCGGGCGGCTGGTGAGGGATAGTCGCCGGGCGGTTGCACGTTTCAAACGCGATTTAAGAAAGAGACACCGCCGAAAATTACACTTGAGGTTAAAGAAACCCTCCCCCTCGGTGACGACCTCAGTGTAGTTGTTGAATGCAGCGTCTGCGCCACAAGAGAACGCAGCCCGGCTACTAGCCAGCTAGCTTCATCCCTGAAAACTGACGGCGTCTGGTTTCTGAGAGCTAGCCTCCCAGCTATTTATTTAGCAGCTAACATAATTTAGGGTGTTTCTCGTCCTCGCGCATCCGACAGTTAAGCCTCCGCTTACGTTTGTGCCTTTCAGTTAAGTTCAGAATCCCACATTTGGCCAAAAACACCCCCCACCCCCCCTTCTTCGTAAACTAGCTGCCAACCGTAGACAGCATTTGCGTTGCTTGTTGTGATACCCATCACACCCATCTATCCAGCCCTTTCACCTCTATCCCTTCCACCTTTTTTTCCCCCTCCACCCGTAACACTGGAAATCTCGAAGCGGCCAGAGAGCGGCGAAGGGCCGGTGAAGCTGGGAACGGCTCCGGACTCGCAGGGAGTCGCAACGTTTACGGACAACAAACACAGCCGTGGGGATCTACCGAAAAGCATGGACGGGCTGGCCGTGGAGGTTCGCGGCTCAAATGGGGCCTTTTACAAGGTAAACTGGTTCTTGTGGTCCTATTCTGTTCTCCAAGTTTGAATTTTCGTTTGAGGAAAAAGTCCTTTGTGTTTTTGTCATGACAAAAGCTAGCTAATTGGTTTTCAGCTAAACGTTAGCATCTGGTTAGCAAAGGAGGAGGACCAAATGCATTAGTTTTCCCATTAAGGAAAACCGTTAGCAGGACTTAGCAAATAAGCTAAGTACACTTGTCATCAGCATGTATGGGCCTTGTCTGTTCTTTTATAAGTAAATTATATCAAAACTCCAAGTAACATTTTGAGTAAAATAAAAATCCAATGTAATCAGAAAATATGGGATTCTTGCATTTCAATTTGGACCAAGCAGCTTCAAACTGAGCAGCTGTTGTCTAGCTCCCATGTGTTACATCAAACCTTACACACCTTAGTTTAACTTTGTAGTCTGACACAGGTTTGAGCTATGTTATGTAACAGAGCATCTCAAGAAAACACCCATGATTAGAATGTTTCGCATTTGAAAAGAAACGGTTTCTGTTTCAATTCTGCCAAAGTCTCTACAAGCAACTTCATACCCATGTGCTGTTACTGTTTCACAGTAAATGAACGGCTAGTTATCAAACTCGGTTGCTCTAGGTTTAATTCTACACACCTATAAGAGTATAAAGAGTATGTTTTGACACGTTGGTTTAGCATCAAACCATTAATGAGACTTTGGTTATCGACAATGATGTTTATCAGCTGTTCTCTTGCAGCATTCTGCTGCTCAGCCAAACCACACCACAGTTGGAGCAGTGATCCTATATTTACTCCCATGCTGCCTCACCTGCTGTTTAGTTTTACATGCTGACAGGTTTGACTCTGGGGCGATTCCACATTTTCCACCACCATACACTGTTTGGCTCATTTTTCCATTGCTTACTTATTTTACATGGGATAGTCCTATAGCAGTGAGTTCATTCATGTTGTGTATTGTTTCTTGGTGTGTAAATATGAGACTTTCTATTGAGGAAAGTGAGATTTTTGTGTAGCTTGAAGAGCTAGCATTTTTTATCAAGCACATGGTCAATCACTGTAAATGACTTCATGATGAAGGCTCCAACTAATTTCCATGAGTCATGTTAGGGCAGGGTTTTCCATGATTTTGCTTTACGCCATGACTCGTTTTAAACCTGCATTTGGTCCTCTACTTAGAAGATGGTCAAATGTTTTTTTAAGCGGCTGATTAACTTGCTCTACCTTCACAATGCTCCAGCAACATTCTTCAAGATCCTGCTTTGATCAGCTTGATCAGGTAAGCTAATGCTTACCTGATCAGGATTCCCAACATTTTACAGTAACAAGACATAACATAATCAACATTAATATTGTTGCTGTCAAACTGAGGGTCTGGAAATGGCAGCACTTGCTTTCTCTTAGTGATGGTGGATTTCTGGTCCTGCTGGTCAGTGATGTTGTGATCCCAAGGCTGCTAAAGTGTTGCAACAATCCATCACCTAAATGTTTATACCCATATTTGTCTCTAAGGATCTGTTGTAATGGCTGAAGCCTCTGATAGAATTTACTCTGTTCAACTGTCTATGTGCAAATCTGCCCAGGACCACTTATACCACATTTACACTACCAATTTGAACCCATGCCAAGAACGGTCCAAGCACACTAACCGAGATAACTGCTGAGTGAAAATGGAACTGAACTGGATCATTGCAGACACAACCAAACTGCAGTAAATCTAGTACTAATTCAACAGTAGGGCTCTGCGCTGTTAATCTGGCGTTTGGTTCTTTGATAACAAAGAGCGTATGAGCAGACCACATTATCTCCGATGTATAGTCAGCTGACTCATTTTACTGTAGTACCGTGGACCGCTAATGGGGGGTGAAGAACAGTGCTAGAGTGATGTGTAAACGGTTGTAAGAACCAAGCTTGGCACGGTTAACAGTTCCAAGCTCGGTCCGAACTTGGCACGGATCGGTTAGTGTAAATGATGGATTAATCCTCCATTCAGGGAGCTATCCAGAGTGGATCCTGTGACACAGACTCACTGAGCTGCAATAGCTAATACGGTCTCTGTTTTACTTCAGCTTTACGGAAAAGGGTTAAGAAACTCTGATTTGTTTGATTATTCAAATATCGGCATGGCTATAATACTGTTGTCAAAGATGTTCACATGAAAATAGATTACCTCGAAAAGACTGGCTCCAAAAAACATTCAATTTTTGGCTGAACAACAATAATTTTCCCCCTTATTACCTTTAGTTAATTTGTAGGTGAAATGGACAGTGCACCCTACTTCAGATGCTTCAATTGCATTAAAGATATTTGTGCTCCTTCTGTTGTAACGCAAAAAGTAGAGCTTCTCTTTGAGGGATTGCCTTCGGATCAGTGAGCCGATGGAATCTGTTGGTTTTCTTAGATAGAAAACTTTTTACCAGTCTGACTGTCTGGTTTAATTGTCTCTAAAGAGGGCCTTGAGATGACGTGTTGTGGATTGGCGCTAAAATAAATTGAGATGAATTGTCGTTGGCCTCTTCAAAAACACATGAAACCCAATTAGATTCTTGGGAATTAGCAAAGTAAAAAGCTACCAGCTTTGTTGCCTTTTGGGATACACATATCATGTTTTCTTGTATTGAAGAGATCATGACAGCTTCATTAAAAAAAAAAAAAAAAATCAGTAGTAAGAGAACGTTCAAGTAAATAGAGTGCTGGAATCGAATAAATATCAGGTTGTGTTGATATCTACATTTAAATATGTAGCGAATGCATGTAGCGATGGTGGAAAGGAAAGCTTCACTTTAACAGAAAGTAACCTCCAGCAGAAATGAGAAAAATACTGCTGCTACTGAGTGAATGTAGCTTGAATAAAAGGTGGGGCATAGTGGTACCAGACATAATGTTCCTGTGAAATATCAGATTCTCCCAATGTGTCTGTTTGCTGTCATATAAAATACAACATATCTGTTCCCATTAGCTGCTGATCTAAACAATCCACTCAGTTTGTTTGTTTTTATTTAAAAGATTTTCTTTAAAGCAATAACAATAAATCCACACCAACAGAAAAAACAAGTTAGTGTTTACCAGTTTCAGTTGAACAATGTGGCTTTTTGTGAGGAGTCAATGTTACATGTTTATAAATGGTTGATAACACATTTTACCCCTAGAAAAAGAAAAAAAAATGAGTTGCTTCTCTAAATCTTTAAAGCAGGGGTCACCAACGTGTTTCCTACGGGCAACAAGGATCACATGGGGTGCCCTCAGAGTCTTCTGAAAATAGAACAACTTGCCAGTGGGCTAAGTTTTACATTTATTCTATTATAATTATATTATTTATAATTTATATAATTATTATATAAATAGAATGTTTATAATGTACAAAGCTTAGCCAAACGCCGACCCTTGCAGTTCATGGGTCAGTATTGGTAGGCCTTCCTATGACTCAGTACCCTTGAAATGGCCCTGAGCCTTAAAAAGGTTTGTGAGCCCTGCTCTAAAGGAATATAACCAACTCCACCCATTTAGGCTGGACGATGTGCGCACTTGCTTCTGTCATGCACCTGATCTTATGAAGATTTAATTTATTAAACCCAACTTGGACAAAGCAGCCTGTGGTATTTTCTTACTGTTTGTGAGAGAGGAGATTTCTCTGGTGCTCCTGCTTGTCAAATGGAGTTGGTATTCCTCGTCACCTCATCCAACACAGCATTCACAGCCAGATAACGGTGTCAGCAGCAACGAGCTGCCTTGGCTTTCTGTTGGGGCCAAAGCAGCTCTTTTCTAGAACCGGTGGCATTATTGGTGGTGTTGCCTTAAAGCCAGTTTTCACAATCAGGAACTCTAATACAACTGATCCACATCCTTATGTTTCTGCTCATGTGTGCTAATCAAATGATTTTTTTTGTGTGTGTGTGTGTTTTCAATTTTAGGGTTTTATCAAAGATGTCCATGAAGACTCACTCACTATTGTATTTGAAAACAAGTAAGTGTGTGCTTTCTGTTAATCTTTTCACGTTAAATGAGTTAATAGCTTTTGTGGCTTTAGATAATAGTCCTAACCTTTTTTTTCTTGTTCCATATCTAATTTTCGATTTAGTTCATGGTGTACAAACGTAAAGAAAAGGGGATTTTTTTTTTTTTTTACTTAAAATACAAACACTTTGCACTATTGTTTATATATTTTTTTAATAAATTAGAATTTTTTCCCTACCAGATTTGGATTTCTAACCACCAGTTTCCTTCATTGTGGCAACAATCAAATCTCTCCAGATTCCAAACTAACGGTTTGGACTTTGACTGGGATGTTGGGACCCATTCAAATGCTTTAATCATCCATAGAAAAGTATCCATAAACACAGCATGATGCTGCCTCTACCATTTTTAGATCAATATTTGCAGAAGAAAAAAAAAACAATTGTTTACTTCTTTTTCACATAAATCCCACACTGTGAAGGGTTTGGTTGTAAATGGCAAAATACAGAAGAGTATAATGGGTATGATGACACAAGGACGCCGTGGTCTCTTTAAGAAAAGCACACACTGATGTAACTGCTCCAGGCATTTAAAATGTCCCTCTTCAGAACCTATGGAAGCATCTGTGTCTTGAGCAGACGTTTTATTTTTTTAAACTATTCTGTCCTTCCTGTGTCTGTCCCTACCGTACTGCTGCCATGACTTTCTTTAGTCCTTAAGTGGCCGCGTGTCTCTTTCAAGCCCCGCCCACTCACCATTTGCTTTGGTCCCTCATGGCCCCAAGTGTAGATTATGTGGTCGTCCTAAAAATAGTGATTTGAGGTATGCGTGTTGGGAGGGGGTGGTACTACCATCACCAGTGTCATTTTGGGATTGTCCCCAACCCCCGTTCATGTCTCTTTATATTCTCTGAGCAAATGGGGCGTATTGGAAATGTTGTCAGTGTGAGAATCTGTCAGTGACTCTTAGGTGTTTTGTAGTGATTAAAAAAAAAGTTTTACAGCGATTCTGCATGAGTGAGCTCTTATTTGATACTCATGAAAATAATTATATATTGATCAATATAATGCCTTTATCCAATTAAAACAACCAATCTACAACAAAGGTGCACCTTTAAATCCAAGACCGGTTTATTAGATACATTTTGCATTTTAATGAGTTCCTTTTGATGAGTATAAATGTGCATGAGATTTAAAAAAGGACCTTGAAGTTTGAACCATAAAACACGTTAAATTGAGCTATGTTGAAAGATGCTAAACATCTGCTTCTTCATTCTGTTGAAGCTGGCAGCCTGAGAGACAGCTGCCCTTCAGCGACGTGCGGCTGCCTCCACCTGCCGACTACCACAAGGATATCGGTGAAGGCGAGGAGGTGGAGGTGAGGCTCTGCTGCTTTGCTTCATTCAAACCCAGGCCATACACCTGGAGTTCCTGTGAAATTAACAAGGTCTCCGCTCTCTCCAGGTATACTCCAGAGCCAATGAACAGGAGCCATGTGGGTGGTGGCTGGCACGGGTCAGAATGATGAAGGGGGAGGTAAGTGGCTGCTAACCGTTCTTTTTTAGGCACTAGTGGCCTTTATTTGACAATTTGCTGACAGGAAAAGAAGTTAGTAGAAGTGTCAAGTTCGACAGCCGAGGACTAAAACCTATCTGTGAACTTATGGATTTAGGAAAATTAGAAGCCATCTAATTGAATCTTATTGATTCATTGATTACTGTAAAACATTCCTATAGAGGCAGGATTTTAGCTGTTCTCTGACATACAGGGACAATATCAAACTAGAACAACATTAATTTACAAGCTAAATAGATTTTTATTTGTCAACCAGATACAAAACTAGTAGACTGTTAATGTGACTCTGGCACATAGATATTTGCCTAAATACCCTCACTTGTTGCTACTCTGAGTGCTAGATGGAGAGACATCTAGCTTGGGCTTGCAAAAACTCCTCTTATGAATATCAAAACCCGTAGTAGTAAAGTTTGAGACTGGTTTAAAAGGAGTAAAGCAACAGCTGCTATTTTAGAGATGAATGGTTCTTGAGTTCAGTTCAAAAACAATTTAAATTCCATCTTCAGAATGTTTATTTAAAGGTGGAAATATTTGACATAGTTTCCAATATTCTCAGGGTGCAAATCTCTGTACATTTGTCCCAAGTTCAGATGATCAATCAATATATCTTAACTGTAAACTACAGTTTGCATTGTAATCAAGAATAGAGTACAAAGTGTTAATCACATACATCACATACATTAAGAGGGGGCGCAGGGTGGCTTCAAGAAACTGCAAATGAATACCAATCCGGGGACAGATGAGACTGATGTGGAGATGTGACACCAACACAGTGGGGATAGTTAAAGATTAAGGCTTTTTACAGCTACAGGAAGAGCTGAGTAATACAAGATACTGATCGAGAGATTCAAAAAATAAACAGCTCAGGGTCCTGCTGAAGCCAGAGAGTAGGGGAGAACACTTCACTTACTGCTTTGTCTTTTCAATTTATGTAGGACTGAAACAATAGGCCTAATCTTGATGAATTCATCATTGAAATAATAGCTAAATCATTAAGTTGTCAAATAACTGTTAAGTGGAGCTTACAGATTCTAACATAGCATTTTCTTAAAAAAACACTCAGAGCTATAGTTAAACCAGAACTGTACAAAGAATACAAATATGGTGCAATAAACTTTAAAAACAGTTTTTGTCTGTTAAAAAAAAAAAAAAAAAAAAAAAAAAGCTCTATCTAGGATGTTAGTATACTTGATTTTCCTTTGGGATTAATACATGCTTTTTTCTTTTTTGCAAATTATCAATATAAAATACTCAATAATTCCACTAAACTCTGGTCCAAAACCACATGATGTTTTGGGGACTTAAATACTGCATAGGGAAGAAGGAGGTGATGGGAAGAGGGACAGGGGTCAACTCCTCTTTGGACATCTTATGCAAAACATTACCTATTGTGTAACGCATGCCACCTACTGTGTAGCCTGTGTAATTTTTCACTTATTAAGTCAGTACATCTCTACACTAAAAGTACAATGATCCAAGTCGACTACTATGTAGTCTTCCCTTAGCTCTCTACTGTGCAGATATTTTTACATCTTTGGCTACGTTCACACTGCAGCCTGAAATGACACGAATCCGATTTTTTTTTTTTTTTTTTTTTTTTTTTGCCCATATGCAAAAAATATATCTGTATCTGATCTTTTCAGGACTGAACAAAACNCATCTGATTTATTTATTTTTTTTCCTCAATGTGACCCAGGCCACTTGGCTGTGTGGTCCTGAATCAAATGCGCATCTGATCTTTTAAAATGCGACTGTGTCTGAATGGTCAGGTCACATTCAGCCGACCTGAATGGCATTAGGAGCTGACATAGGTCACTATTCTGCTTCTTGTTTAACAGTCACGCAAAGATTGAGTTTTTAAGGTTTGGGAAAGATGCCCTCCAGCACTACCATCCATGTTTACTTCCGTAAACATGGAGCACGCTTGATTGTGATGTCATTGCATCGTCTACTGCGCATGCGGGACACTTAAGCTGTATGAATGCAGTTCACACAGCAGATCACAAACAAGTCGCATATATTTCGAAATGTGAACCGCAGTGCAAAAAAATCGGATTTCACAAAAAATTGGAATTGAGCATTAAGGCTTGCAGTATGAATGTAGCCATTTTTTTTTCTTTTTTTGTGCTTTTTTGTATTATATACACTCTTTTTATATTGTCTAGTGTATTTTTATCTTTAATGGCTTCTTGCTTTAAGTCTGTACTCTATATAAGCTACTGGAACCAGAATTCACCTAAGGAAAAGGGATAAAGTTTAGTCTAGGTTTAAGTCTAACTGAGCTGCAATATGCTTTGAATAGAATAATGGCTAAGAAACCTTTTTTATGACTTGAAATCAGACTTCCCTAATCAGACTAGGGAAGTTGAAATGACAGATAGTGGGGGCAGAACTACAGTCTACAGAGCAGGCTGACAAGAAGCTGCTACTGTGACTCTGTTAGACTTTTCATTGTAACACCGTCTTTGTTACGGTTGAAACTATCAGATTAATAATGATTAATTGATTATTGAAATGATCGTCAACCCATTTAGTATTGATTAATCCTTAACTGTGGTATACTCTACAACATGCCTTTAGCTGACAAAGCAACCCATTTAGAGCAGTAATTATATCAAAATTGTAAAAAAAAAAAATTTATAAACATTTTGCATTTAAGAAAAAAAAAGTTGTTTAAAACTTTTAATTTCACCTCGTTTGATTCTGTAAAAAAAATAAAAAATTGGCTATCTGATTATAAATCGATGAATCGAAAAACGAATTAACTGATTAATTGATTTTTAAAATAATAGTTGCAGCCCTAATCTAAATATTTTGCATTTAAGATAAAGCTTCTCGAGTCAAAGTTTTAGTTTCACCTGATTTCATTTCGTAGAAAATATTCCTTAAGGCTATCCGATTATTAATCGAAAAGTGATTTGACAGATTAATCAATTTGCTAAATAATTGTTAGGTGCACCCCTGATCTTGGATTTCATCTGTTTTCTCTTCTGCTAAGCATATATTTCTCTCTCCATTAGGCTACGTATGGTTTATATGATAAATGTCTTGTGCTCTTTCAGTTCTACGTAATCGAATATGCAGCGTGTGATGCCACATATAATGAGATTGTCACGTCAGAGCGCATCAGGCCTCTCAACCCCAACAGTCCTGCCTCCCGAAACACTTTCCACAAGGTCACCATCCCCATCCCAGAAGACCTGAGGGAAATGTCAGTTGGTCAAGCTGCTTGATTTATTTTATTACTTTTTTCACCAATTCTCTTTACTGTGAATACACATGAAACTCAACAGCTTCTTTAAATCTGGTCTAGTTGTCATGACATGCGTGTGTTTGTTGTTGGCAGATGTGCAACTGACGGGATTCACAAGGACTTCAGAAAAGCAATTGAAGCTAACTGCATCTTCTATAGCGCTCAAACAAATGAGCTCGTTGTTCTGGTTAGTAGTCTGATGAATATGCTTGTCGATTAATTCAGCTAAAATTTTAGAACTTTGATGACTATTGTCTTTATTGCTTTGTACAGCTTTTATGACCTTTTTATTTCTTAAAGTGCAGCAGTGATCAAATGTAAACAGTGTGGAGGGTTCTTCTTTTGTTCTTGTTCTAACTTATGGAAAATAAATAGATATATTTCCAACAGCTTTTATTTAGCTTAATTTGTAGGTATCCTGATTACATTTTTTTGTTTTTATTTCCAGTCCACAAATGAGACGACCATAAAGCGTGCAACACTTTTGAGTGACATGCATTTCCGCAGCATCCGTACCAAACTCATCCTAATGTCCCGCAACGAAGAAGCCACTAAACATTTGGAGGTATTGTATATCTGATAAAAGAAATAATTATTTTTTTCCCAGCCTTACTTTTTTTATTTATTTATTTAAGGGTAGACATTAACAAAACATCCTCAGAAAGAAATCAAATGCCTTGCTTAGAATTAGGTTTATTCAATATGATTACAGCAGTTCTGCAGTGCTGAAAACCCTTCAGTACTTCAACCCAACTGGATCATCCTAGTGGCTGGGATTCCCTGCTAACATAGTGGTATTATCTCCAATAAAAATATCTCAATTTCTTTCAATACAGATGTATTTGAATATAGTTTATCTGCAAAATCAGTAGCAGGTGAAAGGTTTATTTCTACCCATTTGATTACATGGTAGAAATAGCAGACTTATTGCTGAAGTGATATTAACTTGATCCTTAAGTCAGCATATAGATGTGTACTCCTCCGTTTTCAGACCAGTAAGCAACTGGCGGCAGCATACCAAGAAGAGGTCAAAGTCAGGGAGGACCTAATGGGTCTCGCCATCGGCTCCCATGGTGCCAACATCCAGCAGGCCAGAAAGGTGCCTGGTGTTACAGCCATTGAGCTGGAAGAGAAAAGTTGTACTTTTAGGATCTATGGAGAGGTGAGCCCCTGATTGAGGTTTTCTGCTGTTGTTTGGTGAGAACTTTTTTCTAAAGTTCTGGTTATTGTCATGAATTCTTTCCTGTGTTACAGACCCCTGAGGCTGTGAAGCAAGCTAGAGAATATCTTGAGTTCAAAGAAGACTACTTTCAGGTACCCAGGAACCTTGTAGGTAAGTGAGCAGCGTAACCTCCCCCTAAGACTCCCTGTTCTCTCAGACTGGATCAATATTTCATGTTTCTAATGTTCTGTGCAGTTTCTGGTCTCTTCTGACAGTCTTTACTGGTGTTTCCTACAGGCAAAGTCATCGGCAAGAACGGCAAAGTCATTCAGGAGATAGTGGACAAGTCTGGTGTGGTCCGCGTCCGCATCGAGGGAGACAACGACAAAAAGCTCCCCCGTGAGGAGGTAGGCAGGCAGGGGGCTGGCAGAGACGACACTGCCAGCAGCAAAGAGGTGAATGCACCGTCCAGCTCGTCTCTCAGATCACCGCCTACTCCTTTGTTTAGCTTCTGTGCCGTATGTGCTGTCTGCTTTTATGCTGCTTCACTCTGCATCTTCCTTTCCCTTATTCTGTTATTGCTTTAGCTTTTATGTTTTCAGTATGGTTTGCCATACAGCTCATAGCCATCATGTAGCTTTTGGTTTTGGCTGATAGATTCACATGTTTCGGTTTGGTTCAGATGTTTATTGTGAACAACACTAAACTTCTTTGTTGTTCTTTATTAGGGCATGGTTCCCTTTGTGTTTGTTGGAACTAAGGAGAACATCAGCAATGCTCAAGCCTTGTTGGAGTACCATGTTTCTTACCTCCAGGTTGGTGGACCTTTTTTTTTCTTTTTTCATTTTTCATCTTTTAGTGCCGGCGCTAAAAAATTAATCAAGTTTAAACACAAAGTTATTTTTTCTGCGGTTTCTGTGACATGTATAAAGCAGTCTTTGATTTGGAAGGGAGGATTAACTTGGATACCCCAGGATGAAATTTTACGCTCCCACATGCCACAAGATTTTACCATATTAGTAAAGACTGAAGTCAAGAAGACAGAGATGAGATTAAAATGTGTAAAACCTAATAGCAGAGTCGGTTTATTAAGCAATATCCCAAGCTGGTGGTTCTGGAAGAGTGATATGTGGTTTAAGTAACCTGTAAGAAATCCTGCTTGTGCTTTGCCATAGGAACTGTAGGGGACACCACGCAAAGGTGTGAGAACATGCTGCATCAAATGAGAACAAAATAAAATCTTTTGTCTTGACAAGATGGGCATTGTATTCCAAACATGGCTGCACATCATCACCAACGTTGCTGTATGTGCCTCAGGACAGGAGATAGGGCTTCACAGTGTGGTATTTGAGAATGTGATGCAGCTCAACATTGTGGGCTTTTCTACCTGAAGCAGAGGAGCAATGGCAACACCGTGGTAAATTATTTGAAATTTCAGAAAGGAAAATAAATGCAATGATGTTGTTGAATAGTGTAATAAGCAATAACACGAAATCGATTCATGTCGGTCCACTCCCGCTTTTATTATTGGTGGATTTGAAGCAACAACGTCCTTTATTCCTTAAGTGTGTCCCCTTATTAGGATGTGAAATACATTAGTAGGAAGTGCACCTCCCCTTCATGGGTGTGTTTGGTGGATCATCTTATAGCTGTCACCTGTCTCCTGCCTGCCCAATGCCACATGAGGGAAGCTGCTGAAGGAGCTGCATTTTGTCCTTACCTCATGTGCTTTTATTAATAGATCCTCTCTGTGGGGCTGGGTAAAGGGTATACCGGGGTGTAGATTACAAGCTATCTGGACCCTCAGCTTCCAAAGATAACTCGAAGCCTACTGCCTCATTTCCTTCTCGCCTCCTATAGCGTTCAGCTGTCATTGGTGGAGTCAGCTGTCACACTTGTGTTGGACGCTGCGGCTCATTTCTTTCATCTTCAGAACGATCATTTTCAGAAAAAAATCAGAATATCAATTGATGGAATGATCTGTTTCATTTGGTAGAAGTATTAGTCAGCCAATGTAGCTGGGTCTTAAATGTTTCCGAATTGAGAGTCTAAACATGTTTGGCAGCCTGAGCTGTTCATTTCTTCATTACAGGAGGTTTTTGGAGATGTGAGGACAAAACTTAAACTAGTTCCACTCTGAGTTTAAAAGTGAGCAGGGGTGTAGAAACTTTCATTTACTTTCTTAGTTACTCATGAGAACTGCCATCTGAGCCTTGACTGCCACCTAGTGGAGGTTTACCAAAAAATACAATTAAGACTTGTATAACAAGGTAAAACAAGGTAAAAAAAAAAATGCACAGCTGATTTTGACAACTACATATTTTTTACTTCAGGGTTTATACAGGAATGATTAACTAGAATTTAATGCTTTTAATTCTCTTAGAAACAATTTTAATGCCATTAACAAGTACCCATGAATCTCATATATACTCAGCAAAATTCATCATCTTTACCGTTGACAGGCTGCAGCCATGTCCCGAATTCCTCGATTTCCTGCCACTTTTGTTGAAAATAGCATTTTCCCCATTCTCTACCTTTTTCTCTACCTCAAGCTTCTTTTCTGAACATACGGCTTTAGGATCAACCGGATGTAGTTCCGCGCAAAGATTTTGCGATATATCTGACAAAATTGTTTTTGCAAACTTTTTTTTTAAATAAAGAATTTTAAATGCCACAATAATTACATTTAATTAAGTTTAATGCCATTTCAGACCTTAATGTAAAAAATTACTTAATGAAGATTCCAGAAGCTCAGTTTAATAAGTGGAACCAACAAATATCCAGATTTATTTGGGCAGGTAAAACACAGAGTGTGAAATTTAAGATGCTTCAACTAGATAAAAGAAATGTTGGCTCAGCCCTCCCCAGCTTTAAAGAATATTATTATGCTGCACAACTAAGATACGTAATCAATTGCTGTTCTCCTGAGTACGAAGCCAAATGGGAACAAATAGAACTAAACGTATCCCAAATAAAACAAAAACCAGGCTTGGAGAAAAAGAGAGAATAAATAAAACCTAAGAAAATGCAATTTTGGAAGAAACTCTAAAAATATGGTCTGAGGTACTTAAACAATACAAATCAGACTGATCTTCAGACTGATCATA